TGAGATAATGATGTTGTATTTTGACTGTGATAAAGGTAAAATGAATATATCTACCTCTGCTAAAGTATAATGAAATAATTCTATTGTGTGTTAATTGAAAAAACAAAACCAGACATGCCTGCCCCAGGTATGTGGGGACAGAAGAGACCATTAGGCAGGGGTAGAATAATGGATACAAGCCCTTTTTGGAGGGTAAAATAAGCGGCCTTCATGTGGTTACCAGCAGAAAGCAGTTTTCAGCAGTTTTGTGGTTGGAAGCCCATCCCTGTGATTCTGACCTCCGCCCCTACACCCTCTTAGTGAGGTTGCCATGCCAACCACATTCCCCCTACTAGCCCACAAGACCAGACTCCTAGCAACAAGCCCAATATCCCATCAGTCAAGGGTTTCCCCTACCCTTAAGCAGGACTGCAGCTCCAGTTTCCGTGATGTCCCAGCTCTGGGCCATGCCACTCTTCCAGAGTGGCTCTTTACCACTTCCCCTCTCAATACCTATAATAAAATTACTTTTGCTTTGCACTTGTCCTCTGTTCTGACTCCTTCTTGTCTTTCTAGTCAAAGATAGAAACAGGGATGTTATGAATGAGTCTGGGGAAACCAGAATCCCCAGAGCTATGGGATTCAACAGAGCTTCTTTTTTCTTCTTTCTTTTATGCTTGAATTCCCCTGTCTAGTCCCACCAAGAACTGGGATAAGCCAGGTGCATGCCTTTAGTCCTAGCTACTCTGGAGGCTGACATAGAAAGATTCGAAGCTTGGCTAACTTGGGCAACCTAGTGAAACCACTCAAAAAATAAAGCAAGGCTGGGATGTAATTCAGTGGGAAAGCATCTCTGGGTTTGACCTGTAGGACTGGAAAGAAAATGGAATTCCAGTATATCTTCTTGAGAATTTACCTCAGGCAGGTTTTGTTCCTGAGTTGCTTTCAGAGGTGTTTTTGTGGTGCTGGGGACTGAACAGATTTTGATTCTTGCTCATACCATTGAGCCTTTGGTAGGAGCAACTCTCAATTTCAATCAGTGGTAACCTCTTGGCTTCTAAGCAGTAGCCATGCAATGCAAATGTAAGAAATAGGAGGGGGTGGGTCAGATTTATTCCACACGGTTCTTACTTTTGGTATGTTAGACACACTTAAAATTTTGTTTCCATTGTGTATGTAGTGGTAGGTGGGGACAAACCCATGGCCTTGAGATGTCCTGCAAGCGCTCTGTCACTGAGCTGCCCTAACCCAAGATGTTTCCAAGCTTTGTTTGGTTCATTGTTAGGTTTTTGGGAGTTTTTGTTGTTGTTGTTGTTTTTGAGACCGTTTCTTGCTGTACAGTGCAGGCTGGCCTTGAAATTGCTATATAGCCAAGGTTGGCCTCAAATTTATGGCAATCCTCCTGCCTCAGCTTCCCAGGTACTGGGATTAGAGGTCTGTTCCACTGAGCCCAGCAGTTCAATTTTCAAAAGTTTCATCTAAGACAACACATTTTCCATTCACAATATAGTTCTTATTTCCTTGGGAGACAGTTTATCAGAAATACCAAGAGGAGATGGCTCAGTAGAAAAAGCGCTTCCCTAGCAAGCGCAAGGGTCTGAGTTCAATCCCTGGTTCCACCAAAAAAAAAAAAAAAAATTCCAGAAATACCAAGAGTAGAATAAGACAAGAGTTTACTTAGATTGGAGTACACTGTCAAGAGGACAGCTGGCAAAATTCTAAGTAAAGAATCAAACCATCAGGATAGAAGACTGATGTTTTTATAGGCTTTGAGGGTGTGAGAGAGATATGGTCTGATCAAAAAAGTGTCCTAGGAAGGCTTTCTTTAGATCAGCTTGCACTATGGTGGTCTCACAGGAGTAGCCATGTTACATCAAGAGCTATACATTGGGCTGGTGAGATGGCTCAGTGATCTAAAGCACCTACTTAGAACAAGCTTAGCAAAGCACAGGGACCACAGTTCAATCCCCCAGCACCACATGCCA